CTGGGAAGACACCGGGAGCAAAGGAATGGCCAGCGGCTCTTGGAGCTGCCTGCACGCATGGGGAGCCCTGTGTCCCCCCCCAAAATAGCACCCAGCTTGATACAGACTGCGGAGAATGCTGGGTGGGAGAACGTCTCTTCCCTTTTTCCTCTGCTCTGACCTTGGCCTGTTTGTTTTCTCCCACCGGGGCAGGCTGAGCAAACAGTGGATGCCGGGGCCCCCGCCGGGCCCCCGGCCGCAGCCGCGCTCCAGCCCACACCGTCGCAGGAAGGCTGCGCTCCCGGCCGCCCAGGATGAGGCTGCTCTTCCCTGCCGTCGTGCTGGCCCTGCTCGCCGTCACCCGTGCTGCTGAAGGTGAGACGGAGCCGGCCAGCCCCATGCTGGGTGCCTCCTGCTTCCAGCCAGGGGGGGGATGGAGCAAGGGCCGGTAGGGGAGCCCGGGCAGGGTGAGGAAGGGAACCAGGTGGTGGCCACGGCCACTAGTCACATTGGCTATGGCATGGGGATAAGGCGAGCAGGCAGTACACGAGTACCAGTGGTGCCTGGGCAAATCCCTGGCCATCCTACAGCCGGACTGCCAACGTGGAGCTGGGACCTTGGCACAGCCTGGTCCATGGCTCCCATCCCAGCAGGGCGGGAGCGGGTACTGATGGGGTTGACCGTGGAGAGGTGGGGTCCCCCCAGTCAGGACATGTCCATGTTTGCTTTCACCCTGGGGGTTGGGCAGGGGGGGAGGCACCGGCCCCACTGCCCACTCCACGTTAATCCTCCTGCGCTGCTGGGTGGCTTTTGTAGACTCCTGCGAGGGCCGCTGCGAGGATGGCTTCGACGCACGGCGCAAGTGCCAGTGTGACACCCTCTGCATGTACTACCAGAGCTGCTGCAGCGACTACTCCACCGTCTGCAAAGCCAAAGGTACCGGCCCCACGGCCACCCTCCCAGCCGGGGCAGGTGGTCCCAGGGTGGGCATGGATGCCCGGCACCGCAGGGGCTCAGGGGGGTCTGTGCTGGGTCAGCTCTGGACCCACCCGTGCCCGCAGGGTGAAGCCAGCACCAGGATTTAGTGCTCAGGGTGCTGCAGCACCAGGGATTTTTGGCAGCTGGCTCGCTGGCCCCCTGCCGCATGGGGTCTGTGCAAATCCCTATTGCTTGGGAGCAAGCAGCTCCCACACCCAGACCCTGTGGGAGATGCCCAGGGCTCCCCAGGACCCACCTGCTCCCTCCCGCAGTGACCCGGGGAGATGTGTTTGCCTTGCCGGAGGACGACTACCTTGACTACAACCTCACCGTGGACCTCGGCACGGTGGCGAGCACCCAGGCAGCCCCCACAGAACCACCCACATCCCTGGTGCCGGAAGAGTTCACGCTGCAGAGCCATCCGGGCCCCGAGGAGACACTGACGGAGGTGCCCATGGAGGAGGTGCCCAGCACCACGCTGGATGGATTCGGGGAGTGGGACCCTGTGGAAGAGCCTGAGGAGCTGTGCAGCAAGAAACCTTTCAATGCCTTCACCGATCTGAAGAACGGTTCTATTTATGCTTTCCGAGGTACCTCGGGGACCTCTCCCGGGCACATGGGACACGCTGCCATGCTGTCACCCCGCGCCGGTGGCTGTGGTCCCTCCACGCTCTCCCCAGGGAAGTACTTCTATGAGCTGGACAAGACAAGCGTGCGGCCTGGATACCCCAAGCTTATCAGCGACGTCTGGGGTATCGAGGGCCCCATCGATGCAGCTTTCACACGCATCAACTGCCAGGGCAAGACTTACCTTTTCAAGGTGGGCAAGGGCCTGGCTGCAGGGGTGGGGGTGCTCCCAGGGTGGCCAGCACAGACCCCCCAACACTCCCTGTCCCCACCCTGGCACCCTCCATGCACACACACACACGGTGGCTGCCAGATATCCCCAAATCTCTGAG